TCAGAAGGATGAACATCTTTGGCATCACAAATCAATTCCTGCCTTTTAGTTTTTCTTGGTTTTATATCTTTTGATCCAAGTGGCCTGCCACGCTTTTTGCGTATAGAAGAATCATTTGCAAGAGATTTTTCAAAATTCTCTGTTGGGATTTCGATTCTGGCAGGAGCATTCATAGCAGGAATATGTGACTTTGTCACTTTCTTTGTATCTGTGAATGCATCAGGCAACTGATTTGCAATATTTTGTAAATGGATTATCTTTTGCACCTCTTGCTCACATATATTTGATTTGAAATCAAGGTGTGATAATCCTGTTGCATTCCATGTTATTTGTTTCATACTTGGGTCCGATTTATTAGTTTCTCCCCCTAAGGTTGGGAATACTGTCTCATTGAAATGACTGTCAGCGAATCGTGCGGTGAATAAGTCACCAATCATCAGTTCAAGATATATGATTATTGAGGGAGATTCAAATCCAACATAAATTCCCAACCTTCTTTGAGGACCTATTTTTGTACGATGAGGTGGAGTAATTGGAACATAAACAACACAACCAAATATTTTTATGTGTGCTAAGTTTGGCTCTTGTCCAGTAACTAATTGCATTGGGGAATATTCATGATATGCAGTCGGTCTAAGCCGAACTAAATTTGCTGCATGTAAAATAGCATGTCCCCAAACTGATGAAGGTAAATTACACTTCATTAATAATGGTCTGGCGATTAATTGTAATCGTTTAATCAAAGATTCAGCAAGACCATTTTGTGTATGGACTTGAGCAACAGGGTGTTCCACATCAATCCCAATCGACATACAATAGTCGTTAAATGATTGAGATGTAAATTCTCCTGCATTGTCAAGTCAGATTCTCTTTATAGAATGATCCGGAAAATGAGCTCTTAATCGTATGATTTGAGCAAGGAGTTTAGCAAATGCTAGATTTCTAGTCGATAACAGACTGACATGTGACCAACGTGTTGAAGCATCAATCAACACCATAAAATATTGAAATGGTCCACATGGTGGGGCTATCGGCCCACAAATATCTCCTTGAATCCTTTCTAAAAATGCAGGTGATTCAGTTGCAATTTTGTTCATAGAGGGCCTGATGATCATTTTGCCAAGAGAACAGGCCTTACAAGGAAAATCCCTTGATATTGGAACCCTTATATTCTTTAATGAGTGTCCAAGTGAAGTCTTAATGATTTTATGTATCATTACATGGCCTGGGTGACCTAAACGGTCATGCCACAACATGAATGTTTTCTGATCATCTAACTTTGTGTTAGAAACCAAATTTATTTCAAATGGACTAATATATGTGAAATATAGTCCTGAGGAATATGCTGGCATTTTTTCACAAATATATTTAGTGCCAGATTTAGTTGTTGTAAGACAAATATATTCCTTTTGGTTTTCATTCATGGTTTCTATGTGATAACCATTTTGACGCATATCTTTAAAGCTTAATAAATTCCTCCGCGATTTGCTGGAGTATAAAGCGTCATTTATAATTATTTTGGTCCCGTTAGGGAGCATCACATATGCTTTCCCAGAGCCTTCAATGAGCTTCGCAACACCTGATATGGTAATGACTTTATCCTCAACTAAAGTCATTTGAGAGAAATATATTTTATTTCTCAAAATGGTGTGCGTTGTGACGCTGTCTATTAGACATAGCTCTTTATCGTTTGAGTGATCTATATCTTCAAAATGTGTAAATAAACATAAGCTTGATCACAAATTGTGCATATAATTTAACATAAAGTACATATATTACACACATTTATTTAAAAAAAAACAAAGAAAAAAAAGGAAGAAGGAAAAAAAACACAAAACTAATATGTTACAACATAAGGATCGGAGTCTAATATTTTATTTTGTGACATTTTGGTTTATTGCAAAAGCATCGTCCATAATGGCATCATCCGTGAAAAAGTCGGACACGTCAAATTTTGGCAGAGGTGGAGTTGTGTCGTTGACATAATTAGCTTCCATATTTTTGCCGTTGTTCAAGTTCATGGAAGCTTGAAATAATTCCACCAGATGCTTTGCAGTGCGGCATTTGTTAGCCCAATGCCCCGTCATGCCACATTTATAACAAGTCGTCTTTACCAAGGTTTTTGGAGGGCGATTTATTTGATGGGCTTTTTGTTTGCCCTTGCCCTTATAATTTGGTCTATTGACATGTTTATATTCTCGGTGTGACTTGTTTTTATGACCATTAAAATGTCCATGTTTAAAATGCCTTCTACTGCCACTGTATGTTGCATTTGATTCAGTGGCTAAATTATGGCCAGATGGACCATAAATCGAAGGACTAGAACCAGTGGGTCTCAGATTATGATTTTTCATCAAAAGGTCATTATTTTGCTCAGTTACCAATAATACTGATATTAAGTCGGAGTATTTTTTAAAACTTTTTTCTCTATATTGTTGTTGAAGCAACATGTTTGAGATATGCATAGTGGAAAAGGTTGTCTCCAACATATCAGCGTCAGTGACTTTTTGTCCGCATAACTTTAGTTTAGATGTTATTTGGAACATGGCAGAATTATAGTCGCTGATTGATTTAAAATCCTGGAATCTTAAATTGATCCAGTCATACTGAGCTTTTGGCAAGAGTGCCTTTTGTTGGTGGCCATATCTCTCTTGTAAATTGTCCCATAATTCTTTTGGGTCATCAACCAAAAGATATTCAGATTTGAGACTTTCATTGAGATGGTGACGGAGAAAAATTATAACTTTCGCTTTATCCTGGGAAGATGATTGATTAATAGCCTCAATAGTGTCTTCGAGACCATTAGCCTTCAAATGTGCTAAAGCATCAACTTTCCATTCCATGTATTTTTGACCGGACAGATGAAGAACATCAAATTCTCTTTTGCTTATGTTTGCCATGATATTCTACAAAATTGTTAATTTAATATTATTATTGTAACATGAGATTTAAATGTAAGTTGTACTCCGTATATAATAAGTAGTTTAAAAGACTTTAAAGTATAATTCATGAGATCAACTCAAATTAGAATCCATAAAAATTAATATAAGACTAAATAATACTACATATGCTATTTAGTGAAGTTTAACTCAAATTAGAATGTATAATTTCTAGACAATTTGTTAAATGTGATCGTGGTGTACAAAGACAAAATAAACTTTGTATTGATCTAAGAATAACAACCGAGTTCACTGAACAAGCTAGGCTTATGATAGTCATGTAATTACTCATTTATTCTGAAATCATTTATCTCCCTTTATTTATTATTTTATTTAATATAGAGTATATGAACATATGAATAGACTACTCACCTGAATAATTTTGTTTCTTATGCATGTGACTAATGAGCCAAGTAGTATTTCAATGCATTATGACCGTTCAAACAAAAAGACAAACGAGATAAGTGCATAAATGACACATGTCTTATTATTATACTCAAAATATATCCTGACATCTACGAAGCATTATAGTCATACACTTCGTATATCATATATGTAACTCTGGACAGTCTAACTGTCTAAGTTTTCTATCAATGTTCTTTCTTCTTTATTTAATTATACAATGTTGCGTACAACTATTCTCATTTCTTTTATGAAGAATTCATTCATATTGAGGAATATTTAAAGGTATGTTCGTATGATAATCCATATTTTCTTTTCCGTATATGATAGAAACTATATTTAAAATAGAGAATAATTTTCTAGTTTAAGTACTAAAAGAAGATAACAGAATATTGATGTTAATACCTGCATGAGATGCTGATGTCTTGAAGATTTTGAGCAGATTCATGCTGATAACGTGTTGTGAAATGAAGAAGATGAAGACTAAACTTAAGAAATAGATATATTAATAAAAGCTCTGAATATCTTTTCTTAATCTCTTAATATTTTCTGAAATTTCTAAATTACATTTACAAAGGATTGATCACCCTATTTATACTAGTTGGCCAGGAGATGAATCATCAAAGAATGATTCTACAAAATCTGCTGGCAACATTAAACTTATAGAAATTAGTTCAAATAGGACTAAAACTATGGCAAAAACCTAAAATAGAATTTGCTATGTTTTTATTCCAAAATAGGACCATATGAGTCCTATTGGAAACATACCTATTTTTGCATTCCATTCTTACCCTTCCGTTAAATATGAATTACAAATAGTCAAAAGCCATAATTAAATATTTAATTCATAATAAATTCGAAAAAAATTCAAAAATTCGTAGAAATATAAGTAAAAAATTTATAAAAATTTTATAAAATAAAAAATTCATTTTTTAAAAATAATTTTATTTTTAAAAAAATTAATAAAAAATAGTAAAACTCCGTAAAAAAAAATTAAAAAAATATGGATGCCTTTCCCACCGCCTGTACTACCTCCCAGCACCACCACCTCCGGCCGATGAAAAAAATGCCATTTTCCCAGAAAAATGCCATTTTTTTCTGAAAATGCCAAAAAAGTGGCATATTTCTCTTTTCGAATGCCAACATTTTCATTTTTTTCTGCCATAAATATGGCATTCGTAATGAACTTGGCATTTTTTCCCCTGGTGACCGGAGGTGGTGGTGCTGAGGCGGCAGAGGCGGCGGCGATTTTTTTTTAGTTTTTTTTTTTTTTTTTAATTTTTTTAATTTTTTGAAAAAAAAAAAATAATTAAATTTTTAATATCGAAATGTTTTTCTTAATTTTTTAGTATTTTTTACGAATTTTTATTATTTTGTATTATTTTATTAGGAATTAAAACATTTTAATAGCTATAAGGGTATAATTGTCCAAGGTACACATAATTAGTCCTATGCAAACATAGTTTATTTTTTGGTCCTATTTGTGAAAAGTGAATGACTTTTAATCCTATTTTGATAATTAACTCTTAAACTTAGCCATATGTCTATTACAAGGATTGGAATTGGATTAGTGTCCTGATGATAAGGATGAACAATTCACACTTGTTATTCTCAGGAATTTACAACAGTTTGGACAAATTTTCCAGTTATTAATATTCTAGTTCATTAGTAATATTGGAATTGTGGATAAGCTTCCTTCCTGGGCTCCATCTCACCCCTACCGGATAACACTCCACTCCGAACTCCGTCGCCTTCCTCTTCTCCTCCGTACACCGATGTATTACCGCCGAGTCGGAGGCCCTCACATCGTATCCGCCCAACATACGACACTTTAACTGTTCTTATCCCTCAGAGGTGTACCATATTCGTGATTCTCCTCAGGTTTGGCGTTTCTTGGTTGATAGACTAGTCCTTTATTATTAATTCTCACTGTAAAATGAAAAATTGTGCTTTTAAACTCAAAATTTAGTTGAATGACCGGGAACAAATCTAGTGTTTCAGCTTCAAACAAACTTTTCTTCATCTGAAATGCTCCGTAGTAGTTTGCAGAAGGCATTGAATGCTTTTCCGCTTGATTTGTTACAATTTTATACTGAGATTGTAGTGTAAAACTGTGCATAAGGCGTTAAATACTTGGTTTGCATTTCATAAAAACAATCTGTACCCCCCACGTTTTTTCAGATGGACGATTTTGGTTTGTTTTGTCAAGAAACACAAAAATTGTCAAGTCATGTCTGCGTTGATGTTTGAGCTTATTTAGCATTAGAGCTGATGGTAATTGAGATGTTGTAGCTAGTAGACACTTTCAGATTGAAACATTGTGTGAATGAAATGATTACTGTATTAAAAAAGCATTAAAGGATGTTCTGTAGAATGGAAAAATGACATAGATTCCACTGGAGGGGAATTCCACAAAGTTTCCATTGATTTAATGGATCCCTCTCTAACCTTCCAGTTATCATTTCCTTTGAAAATAAAATTCAGGGAGTTTTTGTTCAATGTGTAAAAATATTCAGTTTCAATCAGATCAAGGCAGTTTGACTACATCAGGATAATGTCCTGATAATCTAATGTGATATCAGGCTGAGTAGAAACGTATTGCAAGTAAAGAACAGTTGATGTAAGGGCTTTGTTTGAGATTGATGGTGTCTGGGTAGGCTTTTCTTTACTTGCACGTGGATTAAGACATGGTGATTACATTGAGATAATTAATTTAGGGGGGGGGGGGGGTACTTGACTTAACAGTTAAACTTTTGAGTGAAATTAGACTTTACACCACATTTTCGAAAAATTTAACGTGTTCACTCCATTATACGGAGTATGATAAAAGATTAATGTTCACACTTCATTCCTTCACAACGTTTACAACTGATGGAGTGCATACATGTTCTTCCCTAAAAATGGGGTGCAAAGTCAAATATTCTCTTAATTTATATGTGATTCAGTTGAAGAATGGAGTTTTATTGATAAATACAAATACAGAAGCTAAATACAATTTATAGGCCTAAGCTAACTTAATAAAGGAAAGAGTAATTATGTACAAGATCTTCTAATTAATACAAATCTCCTACTTGATTCTAGGAAATCTTCTAATTATGTACATGATCAGAATAAATCTCATTATAATCAACCAAATATTCTAATATCTCTACACTCCCCATCAAGATGGTGAATGGATGTCTATCATTCCCATCTTGCAAGTAAGTTCTTGAAACCGCTCTACTGGAAGCCCTTTGGTGAGCACATCAGACAACTGAAGCCCCGAAGGAACATACTGCGTAGAAATCAGACCACTATCCAGTTTTTCCTTGATGAAGTGTCAGTCTATTTCTATGTGTTTTGTTCTATCATGCTGGACTGGATTATGAGCTATACTAATAGCAGATTTATTATCACATAAGAGTCTCATAGGAGCTTTAAATGGTATTTTCAAATCTCCTAATATGATCTTCATCCATAATAATTCACAAACCCCTTGAGCCAAGGCCTTGAATTCTGCTTCTGCACTCGATCGTGCCACGACATTCTGCTTCTTGCTCCTCCATGTCACTAAATTTCCATCCAAGAACATGCAATATCCAGTAGTAGACATGCGGTCAACAATTGACCCTGCATAGTCTGCATCTGTATAAATCTCCATAGACAGATGTTCCTCCTTTTTGAATAGCAGTCCTCTCCCAGGACTTGCCTTCAAATACTGCAAGATTCTATTCATTGAATGCAAGTGTTTTTCGCGTGGATCATGCATGAACTGACTAACCACACTAACAGGATATGCTATGTAAGGCCTTGTGTGAGATAGGTATAGGAGTTTTCCCACGAGTCTCTGATATTGAGTCTTCTCTACTTTTGGGCTCTCCTCTTCACTCCCAATCCTGTGATTTTGCTCTATGGGTACTCCAGTGATTTTGCAGCCTAACTTACCAGTTTCTTTGAGAAGATCAAGGACATATTTTCTTTGAGAAATGAAAATGCCTTGTTTTGAGTATGCCACTTCCATGCCCAGGAAATATTCGAGCTTTCCAAGGTCTTTCATTTCAAACTGAGCTGCCAACTCCTTTCTTAGTATTTGTTTTTCATATTCATCATTCCCTGAAATGATCATATCGTCTACATTGATAGTCCCTGTTTCTGTAACAGCAATGAATAACAATCTAACAAAGAAGATTAAACGTAAAGATGAACACAGATTGAATCAATGTAAAACCCTCTTTGATAGACCGTGAACTCGTACACAGAAAGATATGCGCGTAAGGCTATAGTGAATAAGTACGACGTTAACCTAATCCTAAACCCTCAGCTCCCTTTTTATAGGCGAGGTTTAGGTTAGGCGTGAAAGGCTTTTAGCCTGGTTATATGGGCCTAACACTTGGCCCACATTCTATCTAATTCATGCACTAATTTAATACAAGGAATAATAATAAAGCTAATCTATGATAAACTTGATTCATAATTAAAATATCTCCAACATACATAGACTAACAAAAGAGCCAGTTTGCCATTTCTAGTATGTTTTATAAAGAGGGTATGATCACCTTGGTTTGTTTATACCCCAATGATACCATGGCCTGAGTAAACCTTCCAAACCATGCCTGGGGTGATTGCTTGAGCCCGTATAGGGCCTTCTTCAATTTGCAAACCATATTTCTCCCTGAAGTAGGGTATGGGGCATACACTGGCGGAATCTCCATGTATACCTCTTCTTCTAAATCTCCATGCAAGAAAGCGTTTTTAACATCGAACTGCTGTAACTCCCAATCAAAGTGGGCTGCTAAGGATAAAATAATCCTTACTGTATTCATTTTTGCTACAAGAGCCAATGTATCTTCATAATCAATCCCGTAGGTCTGGGTGAAACCCTTTGCTACTAAACTTACCTTATACCTGTCAAGTGTACCATCAGATCGGTACTTAATTGTGTATATCCACCTACAGCTTACTGTTTTTTTGTTATTTGGTTTTTCAACCATCTCCCAAGTTTTATTCTTTTCTAGTGCATGCATCTCTTCATTCATGGATTAAATCCAATTCTTATTTTTAAAGCTTCTTGTACTGATGCAGGGACTCTAATAGAGTCAATAGCCGAAAGAAAACTCTGGTGTTGGGCAGAAAGATTCTTAGTACACACAAACTGAGATATAGGGTACTTGGTGCAAGATCATTTTTTCTTTCTCAACGCAATGGGCCGGTCATCAGGGTTTGGGACACAATATTTGTTAGGCTCAGAGTTAGGAGCATTTAAACACAAATTATTAGGCTCGAAGTTGTGATTACTTACCTCAAGGTCAGACGGTTGGTCTTGCTGATGGATTAGGACGGGTTTAGCTTTTCGTTGGTACTTTATACGGTACCTGTCATCATTATTGTGCACTGGTATTTGTTCAGAACCATTATCACTAGCATCACTGTCCTTAGGGGCAGGAATAGGAAGTGAATTCAAGGGTACATGTATTAAAGGAAGAATAGGAAACTCAGGGGACTCAACTTCCTGTCTACTCTCCCCCTGAACCTGAGAATTAGGATAAAAAGATTCGGTTTCCAGAAAAGTGACATCCATGGATATATAAACACAACGACTAGAAGGATGATAACACTTATACCCTTTTTTATTTGGTGCATATCCTATAAAGATACATTTAAGAGCCCTGGGGTCTAACTTACTTCGATGAGGACCATGAACATGAACAAATGCAGAACAACCAAAAACACGACTCTGGAGACTTGACATAGTGGGCACTGATGCAAAGAAATTATTTATAAAATGTATAGGGCTAACACCAGATAAAACCCTAGACGGTAACCTATTGATTAAATAAGTAGCGGCCAACATAACTCCTCCCCAATAAAACTTGGGAACATTCATTTGAAAGAGTAATGCTCTAACAATTTCAAGAAGGTGACGGTTTTTTCGTTCAGCAACCCCATTTTGTTGTGGGGTGTCAACACAAGTCAATTCATGAACAACACCATTTTGTTTCAGAAAATCAGAAAAGTTCCGATTTACATATTCTTTCCCATTGTCCGATCGTAACCGTTTGATAGGTTTTCCAAATTGGGTTTGAACCATGTGGAAAAAATTAATAGATAGTTGAAACACTTCTGATTTTATCTTTCATAAGAAAAACCCACGTAATCCTAGAACAATCATCAATAAAAGTGACAAACCATTTTGCACCAAAAATATTTGAAACGGACGAAGGTCCCCAAACATCAGAATGAACCAAATCAAAAGGTTGGGCACTTTTATTATTACCAGGAAAAAACGTGGAACGGTGATGTTTGGAAAATTGACATACATCACAGTGAAAAGACTCAACTGACAATTTTGTAAATAAATGGGGAAACATGGCCCGAACAACTCTAAAGGGAGGATGCCCAAGACGTTTGTGATGCAACCATATTTGAGAGGAATTCCAAGATTCTGAACTCGCTTGATGACAAATACTTTCCTTATACACCAGAGAGTATAACCTGTCCCGTTCCTTAGCAATTCCAATCGTCTTCCCCGTGGCAAGATCCTGAAAAACACAATGGGAATGAAAGAAAGTTACTGCGCAGTTTAAATCTTTGGTGAGTTTGTGGATAGACAAAAGATTATTAGAGAGCCCGGGAACATGAAGCACATGCTTAAGGTGAAGAGATGAATTCAGGTTGATGTTACCACATCCAGTAATGGGAGTTTGGGATCCATTAGCAACGGTGATATAGTGTTTGTTTGGTAAAGTGGAATATGAAGATAAATGTGAGATGTGAGGTGTCATGTGATCTGTAGCACCGGAGTCAATAATCCAACTATGATCAGTACTCAAAGCATCAAATGATAAGAAGGTGGAATTCTTACCAGTCATTGTTAGAGAACAATTACCAGTGGGTGTACTCAAGGAGTCCAGAAGTGCTCTTAGGCGCTCAAGTTCTGCTTTGCTAAGGCCGAGGATATCTTCTGTGGGTAAACTAGGTGGATTGCCTTCAATTTCCAGATTAGAAACAATGTGATTTGCACGTCTCTGAACAATATTTTTGGACCCGCTTATACGTCCAAGGACTTTATCCCTTCCATGCAGTTTGAAACATGTGTCCTTTGTATGACCAGATTTTTTACAATAACTGCACCATTGATCTTCACTGTTGGACTTCAAAACGGGGCCTCTCAAAGTGGATCCTTGTATGGAACCCTTTTCGGTGGCTAAAGCTGAACCATCAACTGATTTCTCTTCCATCATTACCGACCTCCTACTTTCTTCACCACGAACGGTGTGAAAGACTTCTGAAAGAGATGGCAGTTTCTTATTACCCAAAATTTGAACCCAAATGGGATCAAATTCAGAGTTGAGCCCAGAAAGAAACTTAAATATCCGTGTTCTTTCAATAAATTGGGTTATTGCAGTGGAGTCCTCATCACACTTCATTGTCAAACTTTGATACTGATCAAATTCGATCCAGAGACCATTTAGAGTGCCATAATAGTCAGTTACAGAGCAGGGGCTTTGCCTTCGATGTGACTAATCCTTTTGCGTCCTCTAAGAGTGGTACCAACAAGCTGGGCCCATTGAAGGTAGTTGCGCCCATCTAACCGGTATGACCCTTGTAATATCGGGAGGTCACGGTGGAAGAGAGAGTTTTGTCTGCGAGATCACGCATAGTAAAGTGGCAGTTTCAAAGAAGAAGAAAAAAACACCTCTGGAACAAAACCTAGAGGAGCAGCCTTCTGGCAGTAATTTTGTGATGAAAAGAAAGGTTTTTTTGTGTTTGCGTGCAGAAGCAGAGCCCCTAGAATCGGGAAGCTCTGATACCAAGTTAAAGAATGGAGTTTTATTGATAAATACAAATACAGAAGCTAAATACAATTTATAGACCTAGGCTAACTTAATAAAGGAAAGAGTAATTATGTACAAGATCTTCTAATTAATACAAATCTCCTACTTGATTCCAGAAAATCAGATTATGATCAGAACAAATTTCATTATAATCAACCAAATATTCTAATATCTCTACAGATTCTCATTTTTACCCTTTCGTGAAAATGTGAAGTTAATCAATGAAATACTCATATCTTGGAATTATAGAAATGAATTGCTTAATAGAGCTAGACTTAGAAATAGAGAACTGAATATACTTCCAAAGAAACTGGACCATCCTTTTGGATGTACCAAATGTAATGGAAACCTGTCTTTGCTGGACAGAGATGGTCTCCAAGCAAACTCGAATGAATCAAACCCTAGAGGAGCACGGCATGCGTCTGGCAGAGATTCCACATCCCTGTCAGCGCTTACCAAGGTGCTAATTCCTCCGATCATGACGGAAACAAGCCTGGACGTGGTTGGCAGCCCCACCGTATCTGCACACAACAGCGACAAACAGCCGTGCAACGTCACTTCCTCCTTGGCTACGTTTACAGAGGCTCTCGTGCCGCCTGCTGTGGAGGAGCATTCAATGGCGGTGGCTTCACTTGACGCGGCAGCATCATCCTCGTTCGGAATTGGACTGTGCAGCACCTTTCTCATGATGTTGTCCTCGTTTAACGGAGAAGAACTGATCAGCTGGGTTGATAGGGCTGAGCAACAGTTCGATTTGAACTGTACTCCGCCGGGAAAGAAGGTGGCAGCCATTGTAGCTGCGATGGAAGGGCCAGCCTTATATTGGTTGACCTGGTTACGAGCACGAAAGCCGGTCATGTCATGGGATGAGCTTACAGAGGCATTGGTGGCTCATTTTGACTCACAGTTTAAGGGCAATTGCTTTAAACGGCTGCCCGGAGGCAAGCAGACAGGGACTGGGGAGGAGTACATCTCAATTTGTCCTAAAGATACTGGGCAGTCCCCGGGGACAAATGTGAGCCGTTTCCGGATTTCAACCTTGAGGACAAGGTTATTTTGAAGGAGGATGGATTGATAGAGTGCGGGAAGAGCATGGGCGGGACCGGGCTTGGGCCCACTTTCGTGGGCCGGGTTAGGGCTGTCACTAGAGTTTATTTATTATTATTAAGTTAATGTTATGTTTTACTTTGGGCCTATTATTAGTAGAGTACTTGGTAGAGTTATTATGAGCTTAATTAGGATTTAATTAATTTGGGCTTGATTATGGTTTCTTTTAGAAGGCTATTTATAGCCCTTGCCAGGGTCATTCTATCTTATCTTGGAATGAAATTGGTTTTAGCCTTTTGGCTCTGGGCAACAGTATTTTTATCGTTGATTATCTGGGCAACGGTTTACCCCGTTGATTTTATTTTTCTGCTACACAACAGTCCACTTTCTGATTTTGGATTCCACTCCACTCACATTCTACTTTTTCCAACTTACCCTTTTTTTATTTGAAATGTTACCCTATGATTACTAAGTTGTTATGATTCCCTCCTAATTTTCATCAACTTGTAACCACCAAGTTGAGATTCAGATGCATTCCTCTCCTTTGCCCTCGACGATGGTTGAGTAGCCGTAGTCAACCACATTAGGCTCAAGACAGGATAGAGAAAAAAAGAGAATATGGTTAAAAAAACCTTGAACTCAGGATACATGATCTTATCCTCTCTTCGTAATTGAAATTATTTTCTCGTATTATTTAAAGATACTACGTATTATTTTGTTTGCTAAATAATGTTATATTTGGTAGTGTATATTTGGAACCTCCTACGCAAGATCATTGCTTTGTTTGCTACAGGACAAACCAACTGCATTCATATTTTTTAATCCGCTGTATATTTGAAACTGTTTATTTAAAAGTGTTGGTAATTGAGAGTGAATTTTGACAGGTCTAGCTATATAGCAATGAATATTTGGTTTCTGGATAATGCCCCCTGGTTTAAATCTTTCTCTAAGAAGGATATGGCTTCAACCACAATGTCCAGTACCATGCGAATACAAACTTCCAGACAAACTGTTCATATTGATATCAAGTTTTGGGAATGGCCTATATTTTCATTTATTCCTTGGGCAATTTCTGCCAGGAATAAGATTCAGATACCATCCACTGTCAACCAAAAGCTAAAACGTGGCCCACGAGCTCTTGGAAGAAGTGAACTTGTTTCTCAAAATTATATACGCTTCAGACCATATGTCTCCAAGGTTCCATGGCATACTGGTACAAGAGGTTTTTTATCACAACTGTTTCCACGATATGGGCATTATTGTGGTCCCAATTGGTCAAGCGGGAAAAATGGTGGATCTCCGATCTGGGATAGACGACCGATTGATTGGCTGGACTTTTGTTGCTATTGCCATGACATTGGTTATGACACTCACGACCAAGCTGAGCTTCTGAAGGCAGACCTTGCGTTTCTCGAGTGCTTGGAGAAGCCTCACATGAGTACCAAGGGAGATCCTCATATTGCTCTTCTTTACAAAACAATGTGCGTTTCAGGTTAGTAATAAACAAATGTCTCGTTGGTGCGCATTGGATCCTATTTGGTTAAGACTAAAATGGGGAACGATTAAATTGGCTAACATTCCGATTTAAATTTCTTAATTGGCCGACCTTCTGAGTTAACTAAAACATGGCAATTTTATCGATAAACTAAAATTATATTTTAGATAAAAGATTTTTTTGTTTAAATCGTTTAAACCAAAAAGTACCTTCATTGCTACTTTTATATGTTCTGAGCTGATTGTACCAACCCCTCAACCAACATAATTAAATAAATTACTCTTGTGAAAATATTGTACAAAAAGATGAAAAAGGTATACAAAATGGGCTGTCAGTCTACTTATAAATACACATGCCTTAATTTATCATGCTTTCAATGTTTTAAATGCAGGTCTGAGGAACATATTGATTCCTTACCGGCAACAACTTGTGAAGTTACAATCGTGGCAGTTGCCTCTTCAGTTTGGATGGTTAAGCAATGTTAAATTGAAATGGCCAAAGCTGCATGCGTAACACTTGAAGAGAGAGTATATATCCTGTGTCCCAAAAAGCAATTACAAAATCAGCAATATAAGTAATGCTATTCTTAAGTTCGAAGCTGAAGCTGTTACCATTGTAAATAATGGAGTAATATCTGTAGAGGTGCTATAGCTAAAGACGAAAGTATTAATGTTGCAAAGGTTGCTTCATTTCCGATCTTTATGTTGTGTGCAATCATGTGTATTGTGCATACCTAACATATCATAAATTCATAACTTGTGTATACTAAAGATCACATTTGTAATGAGGGGAATATAGAGGGAAAGGACTACTGTGGTCTATGGGGAATATATCACGTTTGCTTAAAAACATTTTAGATATGCTAGATATGATATTTTCTATTTATTCAATGATTTTTCATCTGTTTTTTATTTTGTTAAATTTCTTGGGAGATGAGAATATTTGTTTGGACATTTATATAAAAACATCTCTCTGTGTTTTCTTTGGGTGGGTGTTGCAAAGGGTGGCATAGCTTGGAGTTACAATAGCACGATGATGGCAATTGTGCTATATATGGTGCCTGGTGGTGTGTGCTTATGATGGCGGTTAGTAGGTGAGGATTTAAGGTGGTTGCACTTGTGAGTAGATGTGCAGATGGGCCGGTTCAGGTATGATAACAACGCCCTTGTGATGGTGTTGGATGGGGTGGTAGTTGTAACTAGGGGTGGACCGGGCCCGGGCTGGGCCCGGGGACGGGATTGGACGGGACTAAAATTTTGGGTTGCAGGCCCGGTACCGGTCCGGGTTTGTACCGGGGCCGAGTCGGGTTGGGCACCAAATATATATTTTTAAATTTGTCTTTTTCAATTTATTCCTACCCCCTAAACCCCCCAACCACCTAACCCCACCTACCAAGCAGCCAATCAATGGGAAAAAAATTTAAAAAAAAAATTAAGCCTAGATCGGGTTGGTCCACATTTTCCTCAGTCCGTAGCCTGCCCCAATTACTCCCGGTTAGATGTGGTTAATTTTTGCCGCACTTGTTTTGAACGAGGGAAAGTTCATATGGAAGTTAATGAAACTAACATCGTCTTAATTCCTAAAAAAGCTAAACTCGAAACTCTCGGTGATTGGAAGCCGATTTCACTTTGTAATGTCGTTTATAAAATCTTTGCTGAAGTGTTAGCAAATAGAATTAAGGGGGTCCTTGATAATATCATTTGTGAGAACCAAAGTACATTTGTTCCGGGGCGGCAATATAGTTGATAATTTTATTATAGCTTTTGAAACTCATCATTTTCTCAAATGTAAAAGACAGGAGGATTTTGTGGCTCTAAAGATTGATATGAGCAAGGCCTATGACAGGGTGGATTGAGTGTTTCTGCAGAAGAACATGTTGAAGTTGGGTTTTGATAAGAAGTGGGTTGATTTAATTCTTGAGTGTGTGACCACAGTGTCATATTGTATACCTTTTGATAATAAACCGATTGGACCTATATTACCACAACGGGGACTAAGACAAGGGGACCCGCTCTCACCTTATTTGTTCGTGATAGTGTCTGAAGGTTTGAGTGTCTTAATTCGAAAGCAAGAATCAGAGGGTAAATTAAGAGGAGTGGTTGTGGCGCGCAAGGCTCCTAAAATCTCCCATTTGTTCTTTGGTGATGACACTTACTTATTTTTCAGAGCAAATAGAGAGGAGGCTTAAGGTGTTAAGCTGATGTTGAGCCAGTACAAAAGGATCTCAGGCCAGAGGATAAATTATGTGAAATCTAGTGCTTCTTTTAGCGCGAATGTTGTGACCGCTACTAGAGAGGAGTTGGGCAACTTATTGAGTGTCAATCAATTTGTTCCGATGGTAAGTATCTGGGGTTGCCAGAGATGGTGGGCAGGAAGAAGGATATATTGAGTTATTTAAAGGAAATAATTCTTAAAAGTTTACACTGTTGGAGTAATCGGTTTCTATCGAGGGTGGGAAGAGATATTATTGAAGACGGTTATCCGAGCTATGTCTACCTACGCTATGAATGTTTTTCTACTACTGGATGATCTTATCAATGAAATAGAAAGAATCATGAATGACTATTGGTGGAGAGGGAATGACTTCTGTGGAAGAGGGATGCGGTGGAAGAACTGGAAATTCTTATGTGTCCCAAAAGCTCTAAGCGTCTGAAGGAGTTTAATATAGCTATGTTAGGAAAACAAGGTTGGAAGCTGACAAGGGATCCTAATTCCTTGGTAGGTCGAGTTCTAAAGGCCAAATACTTTCACACGAGTTTCTTTCTGGAGGCGAAATTAGGGAGTACGCCTTCGTTTGTCTGGCGAAGCTTACTAGCGGCCCAGGATGTGCTGGCAGTGGGGTGTAGGCGAAGGGTGGGTAATGGTAGGTCTATTTCTATCTGGAAAGAGGCTTGGCTTCCAGGAAAGGGGTTGGGCAGGGTTTGTTCAATCAAACCGCATGGGATTGCAGATATGAACGTGGCATCTTTGTTAAATGAAGATAGGAAGAGCTGAAATATCCAGCGAATTAACTCAATTTTCAACGCGAAAGAAGCACTATTAATTTGTAGTATTACTTTGAGTTTTAATTCGGTTGAGGATGGGTTCCGATGGAGTGAAGACTCTAAAGGCCAGTATACAGTTCGTAGTTGTTACAGGAAATTGGTAGGTGATTTTCAGCTAAATGTTTGGTTAGGGTGGACTGTAGCGTGGCGGCTTCAAATACCTCCTAAGGTGAAAATCTTTGTCTGGCAGCTTGCAAATGATTTACTACCTACAGGGGAGTTTTTGAAAAGAAGGCATATCAAAGTGGTGGGGAGCTGTCCTATCTGCAGGGCTGAGGAAGAGACGTTGTTTCATCTGTTCTTGAAGTGCCAAGTAACTAAATCAGTCTGGGAGGAAGCTGGATTTTATTCGCTGCTGCAGGTGGACTCCTTTGTTGATTGGCTAAAACTGGTTTTTAATAGGTTAGCTAATGATGGGATATGTAAAATTGTGATGCTCTTGTGGAGCATTTGGAAGTCTAGATATGAACCTACGTTGAGGAATGGGACCTTCTCTCCTACAGGTGTTAAGAGGGTAGCAGCAGCTCTTCTGTCAAGTTGGAGAGCAGCTCATGAAGAGGGTAATTCCTTGGTGTTTCCTGGGGTACGGTAGGGGGGACTCAAGTGGAAGCGACCAGAGATAAACCAAGTCAAGATCAACCGCGACGCAGCTCATAATCCGAGGGATGGGCTATGGTCGTGGGGCTGGGTCAGCCGGAATAGCTGAGGCTTGGGGAGTAAGGGAAGCTATATTCTGGGCTTGTGGGAATCGGTGGACAAATTTGGTGATTGAGACAGATGCAGGGTTGACAATAGCTGGGATCCAAGGTGAGTCGTATGCGGCCCAGATTAGGGTTATTTAAGACGACATTAAGGTTTTACTGAGAGCATCTCTGAATATTCAAGTAAAGTGGTGCAGAAGAGAGGCGAATAAAGTGGTCAAGGGATGGTAATTTTTGTTTGGGATATTTATATGGTGTACTAATGTGTACACATTGTGTGTACAAAGAGCCAAATTCGAGTTACTTGGACCGTAATTTGCTTGAATATTCGGAGATGCCCATTAGTACACACAATGTCACCTCTCTTCTGCAGTCCAAGTAAAAATATCCTAATATGTAATTTTGTTCTTTGTACACACAATGTGTACACATTAATACACCATATAAATATCCTCAAAAAAATTACCGTCCCTTGACCCCTTCCCCATGCCAGACCTCCCAAAAAATCTTCTCTCTACTTTCTCATCCGCTTCTTTCTTTTCTCTCTCCATTCCCAAATCAAATAACCTTTTTCGTCGTTCATCTTTACACCGCTTTCAGATTCGAATCCGTCTTCAAGTCCTAGTCTAACACGAGAAGCTTGGTTGTAGAGGGAATCGATGCAAAAGGATGAGATAGTCGATTTCCACCGCTTGATTTGAGGTAGTAGTCTATTTCGATTTTATGTGTAGGGTTTTATTTGTTTAGAATTTCTGATTTTTTGTATATAATGTGTGGTATGACATTGAATAGTTAAGTATTTTGTGTTATTGTAAAATTAAAGAATGTAGTGTTAGTTATTGATATTTTAGTTCAATCATTCTATTTCACATTTATGCTCATAACGTGCTTGTTAAAATGACACAATGAATCTTTGGTTTAAATTCAAGACTTTTACTCCCCTGTTTTGTTAATTAGTTGACTCAATGAATTTTTTGTTTAAATCCAAGACTTTTACTCTCCTTATTTGTTAACTAGCTCAAGATCATAATTTTCTCGTTTTCCAATTTAAATAATTATGTAAGTATTTGTATTGACTATTTTATTTGATTGTTATGCGTTTTGTAGTAGTAATTAACAAGTAATATTTGTCAAAAAGGAGCTAGATTTATATATTTCTAAGTATTAGTTTGTACTTGCTAAATTGCTTCATAAAGGAGCTGCATGTTAAATTATTGGACTTATACTACATGTAATATTCACAGTATATTATTTATCGGGTTTAATTGTATGTTATATGCTATCTTATATTTAGGCCCAAAAATTAGTGGTCCTATGGATATTAATTTAAGTGGGCTAATAAGTTATCTAATAAGGTATAGGGCCCAAATGTGTAGAGACCCATGGGCTTGACCTAATCAATGATGAGCTGATTAGGGTTAAGCACTCTCTATAAATAAGGGGTTATGGTCTCTAGTTGAACACGTCATTCCGTCTTTCTGCATCTCATCGCTAGAAAGATAATCCCGAGGGTGTGTATCAACTAGAAGACGCAAACCCTAGCCTCCGTCTCCCGGATCTCTAAAGGTGATCTCCCATGGAGTCAGGTACGCTTCTGCTCAGTTAATTCTCTAGATAATTTCAATATGAAGATTAAAGTATTCATAGATTTATTCCAACAATTGGTATCAAAGCCTCCTTCATATTGAATTATTTGGAGCTAGTATTATCTACCGATTTATTGAAATAAGGGTAATGCGATTTTGCTTTTATGCAATTCGTTCCTGATATATTCACATATCAGATCGGTAGTTAATCATTAAGCAAAACGATTGGATTTTGCTAATCTGACGATCGATTAGCTCTATATTGAATGTTGTGGTTTGTTGTATTATTTATTTCGGTCGGCACTCAATTGATTCAAAGCGTGTAATTTCTTTTTTCTTCTCGTTGCCGATCTTGTAGTGCCGTATAGTTAATCTTTTGTATTTTGTTTGATTGGACTAGTCAATCTTAATATTGATGAATTTTTTGAAAGGTGCATGATTCAGTAGCTAATTTCTCATATTCATTTTGATTTTGAAAAAAAAAAAAAATGCTATAGGTACCCCAATCCTACCCCAACTTGTACCCCATATAAAAGCCTTCATATTTTTACCATTTTTTTACCCCTTCAAACATCTCTCATCCCACACTCTTTTTCTTTTTCCCATCCGTCCCTTGCCATTCTCTCACCCCCATTCCCATTTTTTCTCCTCTTTTCATTTCAAGAGCTCTCATCTCCATTTTTGAAGGTTTCAAGATCTCCCCATCTAGTTGTCTCTAAGGTAACCATCCCTTCTCAAATAATGAGGTACGTACTCTATTTTCGTTTTTCCAACGCCTCAATCATTCCCCTCTCCTCAACGCTCGCCGATCCGAAATCCTCCATAAATTAAAGCACGGCCCGACGCCCCAGATCTCTGGCGGTAGAGGCCGGGGGAAGCCCCATCCGTCATGTGAGGCACTGTTTTGTCATTTTGCTATTTTTTCCTCATTTGTTGGTATTTTTTCGTCCAACTCCACGTGAAAAAGAGTTGCCTGTCTGACAGACAAATTTGAAGTGCAATGTCTGTCTAGCTGAGCATGGTTTCATAATTGGTAGTCTTACATAAGATGTCTGTCCGGACAGACAAATTTATTTGTTTGAGTACATAGAACAACTTTATGCATGCACATCTTCTTATTTTACAAATGAATTTTATATTACGTGTGATGACTTTTGTGATGTCTCTCTTCGGATGTTGAAAATTGGTTTGTAGTTGTCTGTGAAGTGAAAAGAGTTGTCTGGCATTCCATTTGATTTGTCTATAATGTGAAATGAATTCTTTAAAATTAATTTGTAGTTGTCTGTATGTGAAAAGTGTTGTCTGGCATTCCATTTGAGTTGTATGTAATGTGAAAATAGTCTGTCTGTCTACATATGTATTGCAACAAATTGTCTGTAATGTGATATAAAATGTCTGGCATTTATTCTGAGTTGTCTGTCTACAGGTCGGGAGAATGTGGAGTGATGGTGGCTTCCTTTACAGAGCAACTGTTAATGGGAAAGTCATTGATTCCAGGTTGCGAGTATGCAAACATGTTGAACAAGGTGGAGGAAGCATAGGAATTGTTATTAATGTGGGAATGTATTTTTGTGGGTTGTTTTGATGAGTTTAGTAAAACTGTATTTTATAGTACATTTTGATGAGTTTAGTAATTGTTAATGTGGTTATATAAAAGTGTTCGGAGATATGATTGTATTTGTTAATGTACAAATGAATTTGGTGAAAACCAAACATGTATAAATTGTCTGTGTTGGTATGGAGTTCCCCAGTAAAGAAGCAATTTAAATAAGTCTAAATAGACTATTATAGGTGAAATACAACCGTTGAATAGACAAAAAACACAGATAATCAGACATACATTACTTTCACGCAGAAAGACAATAACTTTACACATACAGACAATACCGTAGACATCCAGACAAACAAAAGATGTGGATAATTGTAAATGTAATATTTGCAAAAACTTACACATGTTCAAAAAATGAATCCAATTGTTCGACATTGAACATGTAACATTATACAATATTCAACACATTTTCCCAACTGTAATATGAAAAAAATACATGTTCAAAAAATCACAAGTTCAAAACAGGCACATTTCCCCAACACTATATACTTCAGCATCCTTGCATTTGTTTCTCCATTGCAAAAGAAGTCACACACGGTATCATATTTGTAAATGAATTAGCATCCGCTTGGACACTTTTTCAGCCTTACATTTTAAGTCATTCATCATCTTGAAGTGAATACCTATAATTAATACACAACACGTAGTCAGAACACATATTTGGTATAAATAGCATATGTGAGGCATAGTCAATTTGTCTGGAAGAGACAACTATTGTCTGGCACAGCCAACTTTTGTCTGGCTATGAGACAGAGAGTAGTTAATTTGCCCAGACTACTAATGTCTGGCCCAGACAAAATTTGTCTGGCTGTAAGACAAAGAGTAGTTAAATGGCCCAGACTACTAATGTCTGGCTCAGTCAAAATTTGTCTGGATGTAATACAAAGAGTAGTTAATTGGCCCAGACTACTAATGTCTGCCCCAGACAAAATTTGTCTGACTGTAAGACAAAGAGTAGTTAATTGGCCCAGACCACTAATGTCTGGCCCAGACAAAATTTGTCTGGCTGTAAGACAAAGAGTAGTTAATTGGCTCAGATTTTAAGACAAAACCGCGTTCACTTTAGGCTAGACAGACACTGCAATTCTAAATTGTCTGTCCGCCAAACAAAATACAAACAAATGACAAAAAAACAACACACTCTACTCCAAGTCTTCAACGTCCACACCTTCATCATCTTCTACCCTTGAGGTACAAAAAAATGGAAAAAAGTCTTGAATTTCAACAAAAATTCATTGAGTAATTTCTACAAACATGTTATGGGCATAAAATGAACTAGAGAAATTACACTAAAATTTTAATTAATTAACACCTCTAAATGATTACAATGAAACAAACTAATCAATTATTCACTTTTATATCATACATTCATACATAATATACATAAAATCGAAAAAAGGAAAAAAAAATAAAATAAAAAACGCACATGAGGAAAAAACGGAAAATAGAGTACGTACCTCATTATTTGAGAAGGGATGATTATCTTAGAGACAACTAAATGAGGAGATCTTGAAACCTTCAAAAATGGAGATGAGAGCTCTTGAAATGAAAAGAGGAGAAAAAATTGGAATGGAGGTGAGAGAATAGAAAGGGACGGATGGGAGAAAGAAAGAGAGGGTGTGAGATGAGAGATGTTTGAAGGGGTAAAAAAATGATAAAAATAGGAAGGCTTTTATATGGGGTACAAATTGGGGTAGGATTGGAGTACCTATAGCATTTTTGAAAAAAAAAACAGTAAGTGGTAATCGAAATATTAGTGAATACGGAGTATTATACGTAGTATTTAGTGAAACCATGTATTCATCTTTGGAAGGTTATCGAGATATAGAAGAATCAGTGAAATTTCTTTCGGTTTTTGGTAATTAAAATTATCTGCTTTGGTAATTAAATAATTATATGTAATTACGGCAAATATCAGTCCTATTAGAATTGCATATTTGGATATTTCTGAAATAGATTACTTTTGTTGGTGATCATGATTTATGGGTTGAAAAAAAATATGTATTGTGTGTTATGGGATGTATAAATCCTATTTTGTGATCGCACAACGATTGGGTACGGGTTTTACAAATTATCGTTATACATAATACATTTGCATGTGATTCAGAAAAATTTGCCCAATTTTATTTTTCAGATTTTCGAGTTAATATTAGCATGTCTAATATTTGACTTAGTTAATTGATACAACATGCTGCCAAAGTAGTCTCTCTTGTTGAAACTAATTAACTCATATATTAAGATGATTGTGTACTTTCTTATTTCATGCGAATAATAATCGGCCCAAAGGAAGGTTATTATTTGGCCGAAATTTAAGTACATTTGTGATAATAAAATTTGTGATGATTATGAAGTTTTTCGTGTGAATATTAAGTCGGTCCAAAGAAAGGCTTAATATTTGACATGATTTTATTATCAAAATTTTATTATCACACCAAGAGTACCACTTGCAAGTCTGATTTATGTCCAAAGACAAGATTAGATGTTGCGCTAGGTATCTTGTGATGGGGATTGCTAATATTCAAATTTAAAATTAATTATCAAATTAATTTCAGTTCCTAGAGCATATCATTTATATTGTTTTTTGTTCTCTTTCAGTCAACAATTCTACTGCTACAATATATGCTAACATTAATAGCATCCCAGTGCTTAACGACACGAATTTTAAGGAATGGAAAGAGAACGTTATGATTGTTCTCGGTTGCATGGATCTAGACCTTGCACTTCGGACTGAGATACCCGCCGCTCTTAAGGACACATCTACCCTTGATGAAACCGCATGAGTCTAATGATCATAAAACGTGCAATTCCAGAATCATTCAGGGGCACAATGTTTGATGAGGCTGATGCCAAATCGTTCCTTGCCGAACTTGAAAAGCGTTTTGCTAAAAACGAAAAAGCGGAAACTAGTACTCTTTTGAGCACTCTTGTTTCCATGAAGTACAAAGGCAAAGGGAACATAAGGGAGTACATTTTGGAAATGTCTCACATTGCTTCAAAACTAAGTGCACTAAAGTTTATTTTACATGAGGAATTGCTTCTGTATTTAGTTTTGATCTCTCTTCCTTCTCAATTTAATCAATTTAAAGTCAGTTACAACTGCATTAAAGAGAAATGGTCTCTCAATGAGCTCATTTCTCATTGTGTTCAAGAGGAAGAGAGAATAAAGCAAGATAAGACTGAAAGTGCTCATTTGGCATCTACCTCTAAGGGCAGCAAGAAAAGGAAAATTAAGAAAGCTGCAAATTCAGGGCCTCCCAGGAAGCATCATAAGGAAACTAAGGAAGAAACTAAGGAATCTGGATGCTTCTTTTGAAAAGGGACTAATCACAAGAAAAAGAACTGCACTAAGTACCACGCCTGGCATGCGAAAAAGTGTATGTCTCTTGCTCTTGTTTGTTCTGAGGTTAATTTAATTTCGGTACCAAAAGACACTTGGTGGGTAGATTCCGGTGCTACTACTCACATAAGTGTATCTATGCAGGGTTGCTTGAGCTGCCGAAAACCAATCGATGGTGAAAGATACATCTATGTCGGTGATGGCAAGCGGGTTGAAGTTGAGGCTATCGGTGTTTTTAGATTATTATTAAAGACTGGTTTTTATTTGGATTTGAAAGAGACATTTGTTGTGTCGTCATTTAGGCGAAATTTAATTTCTATTTCTGCATTGGACAAATTTGGTTATTCTTGTTCATTTGGAAATAGTCAGTTCAGTCTATTTCAAGATTCAAAACTTATTGGTACTGGTCTTTTATCAGTTTATGATAATCTATATTCACTTGATATAAATACCTCATATAATGAAACCTTGCATGTAAGTACTCGTGGTACTAAAAGAAAATTAACCGATGATAATTCATTTTCACTTTGGCACAAGCGTCTAGGACATATTTCTAAAGAAAGAATTCAGAGACTTGTGTCAGATGGAATTCTTGATTCCCTTGACTCCTCAAATTCGGATATTTGTGTTGAGTGCATTAAGAGAAAACAAACGAACAAATGGAGATTAGGTGCCGAGAGAGCTTCAGATCTATTAGAATTGATATATACAGACATTTGTGGACCATTCCCTACACCATGTAGAAATGGTCAAACATATTTTATCACATTCATAGATGATTACTCTCGTTATGATTACCTTTATCTCATTCATGAAAAGTTCCAATCAATAGACATGTTCAAATCTTATAAGGCCGAAGTTGAAAATCAATTAGGCAAAAGAATAAAAACCGTTAGATCTGACCGTGGTGGTGAATACTATGGTAGATATGATGGTTCCGGTGAACAACATCCAGGGCCATTTGCTAAATTCCTAGAGGAGTGGAATTGTTCCTCAGTACACCATGCCAGGAACTCCTAGCATGAATGGTGTTGCTGAGAGACGAAACCGTACATTGAAGGACATGGTTAGGAGTATGATTTGTCATACTACTTTACCAGATTCCCTCTGGGGAGAGGCACTGAAAACTGCAACTTACATACTTAACAGAGTTCCCACTAAAGCTACAACTAAAACCCATTATGAAATTTGGACTGGAAAGGAACCCAATATAAATCATTTCCATGTTTGGGGTTGTCCATCTGAGGCAAGGCCTTATAGGTCAACTGAAAAGAAACTGGACTCAAGAACAGTTAGTAGCTATTTTGTAGGATACTCTGAGAGGTCAAGGGAGTATTAGTTTTATGATCCCACTACAAGGATTATTTTTGAGACGGGTAATGCCCGGTTCTTTGAGGATATTGAGTTTGGGGGTGGGGAGATAAGGTTAGAGATTTTGTCTTTGAGGAAGAGCATGTTACTCTTCCTTTAGTTGTCATCGAACATGATCAAGATATTTTTATTCCTAATGATGTTCAAGAAACAACTCCAGTTCATGACAATCTCGAAAACATCCCCAATCAAGTACCTGAATTTGTTAATGATGATCAAACTCAACAACCTCAAGAACCTGAGGTGCCATTAAGGAGATCCACTCGAGAGAGGAGAAGCGCAATTCCCGATGATTATATTGTATTTCTCCAAGAACATGAGGAAAATTGGGAATTGGTGGAAGAAATAATTGTCTTCCTCCAAGAACAAGAATCAGATGTTGGTTTTGCGGAAGATGATCCAATCAACTTCTGTCAAGCCATGGAAAGTTCCAACTCTCAAGAATGGATTAATGCATGAAAGATGAGATGAAGTCTATGAGTGACAATGACGTTTGGGAGTTTCATTGCCTGAAGGTATTAAACCCATTGGTTGTAAATGGATATTTAAAATCAAGAGGATTCAAAGGGCAATGTTACAAGGTGATAAGCTCGTCTTATTGCTAAAGGCTACGCTCAAAAGAAATGAATTGACTATAAAGAGACTTTTTCTCCGGTATCCTCGAAAGACTCTTTTAGAACAATAATGGCATTAGTGGCACATTTTGATCTTAAGCTTCATCAGATGGATGTAAAAACTGCATTTCTCAATGGTGACATTGAGGAATCAATCTATATGGAGCAACCAGAAAACTTTGTTTCGGGAGATTCAAAGAAAATGGTTTGCAAATTAAAGAAATCCATCTATGGGCTCAAACAGGCTTCTCGTCAGTGGTATCACAAGTTTCATAAAGTCATTATATCTTTTGGTTTTCAA